CTCTTGGTGATTGGCCCAAAGCCACTTAATTGACTTCCATGCCTAAGGCGGGACTAGAACTCCCCGTCTCCCGGTGATTGGCCCAAAGCCACTTAATTGACTTCCATGCCTAAGGCGGGACTAGAACTCCCCGTCTCCTGGTGATTGGCCCAAAGTGAATTAATTGACTTCCATGCCTAAGGCGGGACTAGAACTCACCATTTCTTGGAGCTAGAACGGACTTGCTTCTCATTTGAATGAGCCAGGCCTGAAAGGAGGGGGGGGGGGCTGCCTATGCCCCTATCAGAATCCCACCCCCCCTCCTTTCCAAGATGGGCAGCCGGCGTTGGCATCCCAACCGCGTGCGTTGACCTCCCCACAAACACCATCCCCCCCTCTCACCCCCGTAGGCTTCTCCAGCATGGAGCTCTCGGAGGTGGTCAGCAACGCCATCCTGTCGGCCTACAACGGGAGCCTCCTGAACGTCAACCTGGGCAGCCCCCCCTCGGACTCTCCCCCCGGCGGGGCGCCCCCCATGACCTCCAACGACGCCTTGCTCTTCCACGAGAAGTGCGGCACCCTCATCAAGCTGAGCAACAACAACAAGACGGCCGAACGGCGCCGGCCGCTCGACGAGTTCAACAACGGCGTGGTCATGACCAACCGCCCGCTGCGGGACAATGAGATGTTTGAGGTAAGGGGGTTGGGGTCCTGGGACCTCCCCCCCCCCCAAATCCCCAGCGCCATTTTTTCTCAACCTTTGTGACTTCACGAAGAAATGCGGCTGAACTATTTTGTATTTTTTGGGGATCGGGTCACTTTCTTCATAGATGGTGGGAATGCCCTAGATCAGTGTTTCTTAAAGTTAGCAGCTTTAAGATGGGTGGACTGCAACTCCCAGAATTCCACAGCCAGCAAAGCTGGCTGTGGAATTCTGGGAGTTGCAGTCCACCCATCTTAAAGCTGCTAACATTAAGAAACACGGCCCTAAGATGTAATATATCTTGATTTCAACACAATGAGAGAAAAAAATAATAACCCTGACAAGCTAAATTAGTAGAAACAGGTGGATTTGATGGCATAATAATCAAATGGGGAAACCGATCTTGCTGGCTGGGGGATTATGGGAGTCGTAGTCCACAGGTCTTAAAAAGTCACAAAGCTTGAGAAAACTTGTAAGTTGTGTAGAAAATTTGAGGCGCTGCTTGGAGCATCTTAAGTGCGACATAACGCTCTCAGTGGACGCGCGAGGGGTGGCTCGGGAAGGAGGATGCATCTGGGATTTGTAGTCCGTTCCCTTTGACCTTCCCGTTCGTCTTCTCTCATCCCTGGGGAGGACAGACGCCGCTGAATTGGTCGCGATGCCGCCTTCTTTTTGGTCTCCCCAACAAATCCTGTATTACTTTTACAAACAAGCTGCGAATATGTCCAACTCATCTTCCTCCTCCTCCTCCTCCTTTCCCCACAACGACGACCCTGCGAGTTGGGTTGGGCTGAGAGGGAAACTGGCCCGAACTCACCATCTCCTGGTAATTGGGCCATAGTCACCCAGCTGGCTTTCATGCCTAAGGCGGGACTAGAACTCCCAGTCTCCTGGTGATTGATTGGCCCAAAGTCACCTAGCTGGCTTTTCTGAGGTGAAACTAGAACTCCCCGTCTCCTGGTGATTGGCCCAAAGTCACCTAGCTGGCTTTTCTGAGGTGAAACTAGAACTCCCCGTCTCCTGGTGATTGGCCCAAAGTCACCTAGCTGGCTTTTCTGAGGTGAAACTAGAACTCCCCGTCTCCTGGTGATTGGCCCAAAGTCAC